TTTTTTTTTGTTGTTACTAGGATTCTTTTGTAAAATTTTAAAATTATAACAATTTCATTGGAGCTTTGTTCTATTTCTGGGCCTGACAAAAGATCCTTACAAAGGCTTGATGATGTTAGAATGGTTTTAGCTGTGAGTTGAGTACTTGATGGGTTCGTTATAATTCACAAAGCAGAAAACAGCGATGATTAGCTCTGGGTTGGGATTACTCTGGTTAAATTATATTTTGAGTACAATTGTTGAACTTTTTGAAATGGTGTTGAAAATCTCTGCCAATACGTAACTAGGAGGCTATTAAAACAACTGAGCAGGATCAAGAAGCTTTAATCACCTATTTGATGTAAAACCGAATATTTTGACACTCCTTTAATCCGACATCACCTATAATTCTTTATAGTAAATATGCTTCTGACATTTTATTTATAAATTCTAATGACTTGAAAAATACATTAAAACACTGACAGTGCATATTACAGCAGTTGAGACACCCAAGGACATGATATTAATTATGTTATGTGTGCAAAATAATGTTTTGTAGTGAAATGATTGGATTTTTATTACTTGTATATACTTGTTTTATTTCAGCTGTCCATCATTACCATAAAAGGTATATTATTGCAGTGACATTAAAATACTTACTTCAGATCTCGCTAGTGTATAGAATGAACTGCCAGAGGAAACGTTGGAGGCTGGTACAATTACAACATTTAAAAGGCATCTGGATTGGTATATGAATAGGAAGGGTTTAGAGGGATATGGACCAAATGCTGTCAAATGGGAATAGATTAATTTAGGATACCTGGTCAGCATGGACAAGTTAGACTGAAGGGTTTGTTTCTGTGTTGTATACCTCTATGACTTTACATGTATTCAAATGATTTTAGTCTTGCCACCATTAGTTTTGATGTGTTTTGTTTAACACAAATCTTTATGTTGAATTACAGATTCGCATATGGATGCTCTGCTTAGGAACCTCACTGATATTTGGGCCCATATTGGGAAAGACATGGCGACTGTACAAAGTTTTTGGTCAGCATGTCCCTGAGAAGAGAGTGGTAAGCCAACATGTGAACCTTCATGATCTGTGCCTCATCCAACTTCTCTTTACATTTATGAAGCAAAGTCAGAAGAAGGAGAAATGAGAAGCCAGACTTAATCATTTTATCTAACAAACATTGGCAGTGGATGCTGTTATCGGGCTGAAAGGGGTATTAAATAGCTGTATGACAAAGAAAATAATGGAAAGATATGGGAGATACAGAATAATGTACATTATTTTTCAAACTTGCTGGCCAGATTGACCGTTATGATCTCTTCAAGTTCTATATATTCATGCACATTATAGTGGTACTTAGATCTATCTCTTTCTCTGCTTTGTTTTCTTGACTATTCGTTGACATTACAATCAGATGAGTCTGATTTAATTTGATCTATTGTTGTCACATGTACATAAGTCCAATGAAAAATTTTGTTTTGCATGCAGTACAGGCAGATCATAACATATAAGGACATACAGATCATATGTGGTTAGACAGAGTGAGGCATACAAGGTTATGGCTGCACGGGAGGTGTACAAAAGCAAGATCAACATTAGATTTGAAATTCGAGGGGTCCATTCAGCAGTCTGTTAACAGCGGGAAAGAAGCTGTTCTTGAACCTAGACCCAAAACGTCAGCCTTCCTGCTCCTCTGATGCTGCTTGGCCTGCTGTGTTCATCCAGCTCTACACCTTGTTATCTCAGATTCTCCAGCATCTGCAGTTCCTACTATCTCTGTTCTTGAACCTGTTGGTATTGTATGTGTTTAAGCGTGTGTATCTTCTGCCTGACAGAAGAAGTTGGAAGAGAGTACTATCGGGGTGGGAGGGGTCTTTGATGATGTTGCCTGCCTTCCATGGAATCCATGGATGGGAGTTGGCTTTTGTGATGGTCTGGGCCGTGTTCACAACTTCCTGTAGTTTCTTACAGTCCTGGCAGGACAGTTGCTATAATAAGCTGTGATGTACCCAGATAGAATGCTTTCTGTGGTCCACCTGTAAAAGTTGGTGAGAGTCCTTATGGACATGCTGAATTTCTTAAGCCTTCTCAGGAAGAAGAGGTGTTGTTGTGCCTTCTTGACCATCACATCTACGTGGGAGGACCAGGACAGATGGTTTATTATTGTCACTCTTATAACATGACGCTCTTGACCTTCTCCACCTCAGTTCCATTGATGTAGATAGGGGCATGTCCTCCTCGTTTTTCCCTGAAGCCAATGATCAGTTCTTTAGTTTTGCTTACATTGAGGGAGAGATTTGTTATTGCTGCACCATGACACCAAGCATTCTATCTCCTTCCTGTATTCTGACCTGTCATTGTTTGATATCCGGCCTATAACGGCGGTGTTGTCAGCTACCTTGTAGATGGGTTTGGATGAAATTTGGCCACACAGTTGTGAGTGTACAGGGAATCCAGTAGGGGGCTGAGTATGCATCCTCACGGGGCACCGGTTTTGAGAATTATCATGGAGGAGATGCTGTTGTCTATCTTCATGGATTGCGCTTTGTGGGTTAGGAAGCTGAGGATTTAATTACAGAGAGTTGAGCCAAGATCTAGGTAGCAGAGTTTAGAGATTAGTTTGTTTGGGATTATAGTGTTGTAGGGGAGCTGTAGTTGATAAGTAGATGCCTGACATATATATCCTTCTTATCCAGATGTTCCAGGAATGAGTGTAGGGCCAGGGAAATGACATCTGCTGTGGAATTGCTGTGCCGGTTGGCAAATTGCAAGGGATTGAGGCAGGCGGTGATACTAGAGTTGAGATGAGCCATGACTAACCTCTCAAAACATTTCATAATTATGGAGATCAGAGCCACTGGGTGGTAGTCGTTGAGGCAAACTGCATGTGTTTTTTTTGGTACTGATATAAGGGTGGTCTTCTTGAAGCGGGTGGGGATCTTTGATTTTAGCAAGGAGAGGTTAAAGATGTCAGTGAATACTCCTGCCAGCTGGTCTGCACAGGATCTGAGTACATGGCCGCGGACTCCATCTGGGCCAGTCCCATTCCTCCGGTTCACTCTTAAGAAGGCCGATCTGACATCTGCAGCAATGACATAGGGAACAAGTGCATCCAGGACTGACAGGGCAGATGACACAATTCCACTGGCTTCTCCTACAACTATAAAGGCTTCATTTTATGGTTGGGGCTATGGGGACAAAGTGAGTGACCTTCAGTGTATTCCTTCTCATCTCCATTAGTCTTTCAACCTTCCTCTCACTTGCATCATTAACCACATCTCTTCAACTACTGAGTTACCTGTCCAAAGCTGAGATCCAGCTCCCCTCCCTAAGGGCAGCTGGTTAAACTCCACTTGATTTAATTTCATTACACACCATAACTTCTCCAGTCCGGAAATCTATTTTTGGGCAGATGTTGTTTGAGCACACCGAGACTCATTCTAGTCCAGTACTTTGGGAGAAGTTTGAAGATAGAGTGTTTGGACTAATAAAACAATTTTCTTACTGCTCACTGTTTGATGTCTCAGGAAGATATTTATATCTATGGTTTTGTTCACACATTTGTAGTTCGGCATTCTTAAAACAAAATATTTTTACTCCATCTGTTCGATATATCCCACCTTAGGGACAGGTGGGACTTGAACCTGGACCTTCTGGCCCAGAGGTAGGGACACTACTACTCTTATATTATTTATTAATCAAGAAAATTCTGAAATCCAGAAATGCTTTGTCCCAATCATTTATACTGAGAGGGTGAGGTTTATTTGTTTTGCCAATAGGCTTATTTGGGTTCATGGATGTTAATGTATTAGAATTGGTCACGGATGTATGATTAACTTTGATTGTTTCCCTCAGTAAAACACAAGTGGAGATAATTGATTCAAATCTTTACAGATTGATTTTCAAAATCAAACTAATATTAATATTCTTATTACTTCAGTTTACTGCAAAACAAAAAATATTTTTAACAGGCAAGCAATCAAGGGACTGTCATTTCAGTTCTTGTCCCTATTGCTCACAAACTTATGTTTACAAAGAATTCTCTACAAATTTTACCTCAGTAAGCTGTTTCTTGAGTGTTAGTAATTTGAAACTTTTACTTACAAGTCTGAGACATTGGATCTGTCACAGGTCGACAGGGTGGTGAAGAAGGCATTTGGTACACTTGTCTTTATCGATCAGTGTATTCAGTATATGAATTGTGAAGTTATGTCGTGGTTGTACAGGACATTGGTCAGGCCACATTTAGAATATTGTGTTCAATTCTGGTCTCCCTACTATAGGAAAGATGTTGTTGAACTTGAAAGGGTTCAGAAAATATTTATAAGAATGTTGCCAGGATTGGAGGGTTTGAGCTATAGGGAGAGGCTGAATAGGTGGGACTTTCTTCCCTGGAGCATTGGAGACTGAGGGGTGACCTTATAGAGGTTTATAAAATCATGAGGGGCAAGGATAGGGTGAATATACAAGGTCTTTTTCCAGGGTAGGGGAGTCCAAAACATAGGGCATAAGTTTAAGGTGAGAGGGGAAAGATTTAAAAGGGACCAGAGGAAAAACTTTTTACATGCAGAAGGTAGTGCATGTATGGAATGAGCTGCCAGAGGCAGTGATGGAGGCTGGTACAATAGCAACATTTAAAAGGCATCTGGATGGGTATATGAATAGGAATGATTTAAAGGGATACGGGCCAAATACTGGCAAATGGGACTAGATCAGTTTAGGATATTTGATCTGCGTGGACGAGTTGTTTCCGTGCTGTATAACTTAATGAACCAATGATTCTATGCTAACAAAACGCAGGAAAGTAACAGGCTTTGAAACTCAGCAAGTTTCTTTTCAAAATTTGAATGAACATAAACAAGTTCTCTAGCCAACTTTCCCTTTCCTCCAGCTTGGTGTGCTTTGATAATTATAGGATACAAAATAAATATGCAAAGATCAAGTATATTTACTAGCTTTTCTTTCATACTTGTACCTTGATCATTCCCTATGAATGTTAGATCTTTAAAGGTTTAGAAACATGTCTTGATTTTCAAAATTATGAAGAAAAGTAGTGAAAATATCCAAATTCAAAGAAAATACTTCAGCACAATGGCTTGTTGCAGTGAAACATCCTTGGAAGTCAAGTGCACTGAATTATTCGAATGTAGCTTACGCTTACAGCTCCGGGAAAAATATCAAGGCTAAGCACAAGCTTATGGAAAGGCTGAGGAACATCTTCTGAATTAAAGTTTTTAATGAGCAATTAAGGACCTACAGGACAAATCAGTGGATAATTTTAAAATGTTGGGAATTTACAGACTGCAAAATATTCTAGAGAGTTTTGTTTTAGAGACTTGTAGGGAATCTGTGGCCAAACTCTGCAATTGCAAAGCAACAATAGCAAAGTGTCACACTGTGACATCTTTAGCGCTCTAACTCCTCTCACAATATTGTCAAAAGTAATAACAGGTACTGCTATTACTTGTTTCTTCATAAATTTTCCATGAAGTCTGTACATTTGCTAGATTGAACAGATACTGTGTAATTATTCAGTAGATTCAGTCTAAGCTAATTTGATTATGCACATGTCCAATAATCAAAAGAAATCAATGTTTTCACAGAAATATTAGTCTTTGCAGTCGACTGTGGAGTAACGAGACTCTGTTGAATGTATACTGACAATACCCACATCACATAATTATTTAAAGAGAATTGGATACCAGAGTCCAGAGACACTGTGTGTGTGTGTGTGTGTGTGTGTGTGCGCGCGCGCGTGTGTAACTAAACTGTAAATAACATTCTTACAGAAAGTACCTTGGACTCAAGGAACAGTACTTCAGACGTTAATTAGAGTTAGTCCCTGCGCACTTGCACATGGTGTAGCAGAAAAGGCATCAAAAAATGAAAACAGACATTGAATTCAGCAATTGAAGTGAACATCATAGTCAAGATGGAAAGGTAAAATCTTTCAAGGCACACCAGGTCATCAGGGCACAGCAGAGGTCTGACAAATGGACCCGGAAACCAGATAGCAGTACCAACCCTAAGCAGCAGGCAGTGGAACAAACACAGCCACAGTTGAAGGATCAGGTCTAGAGCTGAAATTAATTCAAAAGGTTGACGAGATTGCAGAGGATTTCATGGGTACGAAAGATGGCCTCAACTGTGATCTTGGGTTCATGTCGCACTACACATAACTCCACCACACTGTTCTGTATCTGTAAAATCTTCCTTACTGTCCTGTTTTGACACCATCACCTTGGTAACTTGTTATGATCTCTCTACCTTAATTAGTTTGCACAGTTTTGGAATACTTGTCACTTTGGATAGACTCTTCAGCATGCAACTCTTATACCTGTCATGTCATTCCAGCCATTTGGTTTATATCCAGCACCATTTTATTTTTATTTTTGGAATTACCTCTCTGCCTCAATTAATCGGATCATAGGTCATCCCTTCACTTGCTAGTCAGCTGGTGACCCTTTATTCACACTGTCTGACACTTTTGACCACCTGCAGAGATTTGTTATTCAGCCTGTCGACACACCACTCACTGTCTGTATGATCTTTTGATCTCTTCGCCTATAAATTCTGTGCCAATGTGTTTTTCTTCACTTCACCTGATGAAGAAGCAGCACTCTGATAGCTTGTGATTTCAAATAAACCTGTTGAACTTGGTGTCATGTGACTTCTGAGCTTAAAGGTAAACAGAGATTTTTCACCACCAAGAAACACTACCGAGCTTCAAAGATTCCTGAGGATGGTGAACCAGGTAGGTCATTTTTAACCATATTTAACATAGGGAAATGAGCCTTTGAGACAGCTACTAGTGACCACATGATTGGGGACAGTACTTTTTCAGGAGTAGAAAGATGAAAAGCATAGACTATGCTTCTAGATCGCTTATTGATATAGAACACAATATGCCACGATTGAAAAGGAAAGTTTAGCAACAATATGGGCATGTGAAAAGTCTTTAGATTAAGTAATGGGTTTATAGTTTGTTAGCAAACAGACCGTAAATGTCTAAATATAAAAGAAGTAGCCAAGATGCTGCCGAGAATTCAATAGACAACTGAGGCAATCAGGTCTGACTCAACAACTAAATAGGTGCAGGTCAAGTACCAAATGACTGTAGATACACTGTCAAGAATACTAGTACAGCTAAAGAATCTATGGACTGCATGCGAAAGATTGAAGTCCATATGTCAGCAGTCACAGAATATTTATTTGCTACAGAAAACAAAACTGCAAAAAATTTGTAAAGTACAAGAACACGATGAAACTGTATTCAGATAAAGAAATACTAAGTCAATCGAATTTCCCTTCCCTGTTGTGGCGTGAACAATAGTACAAATGTTGGGAAAATATGGAGGGAATAGAAAATTAGTATCTAGATCTTAAGAATTTTTTTTGCTATTTTCTCTCCATTTTTAAACAATGATTTCAGAGTCTTGCCATTGGGCAGTGACTACCTTCTTTTTATGCATTTACATCTCATTAAAGGCCCAACTCACCTCATTTAGGTGCCACATCCAATTCTTCTTTCCTTTCCTGAGAAACTAAGCAGAAAAATTTCCTGTGTGTAAATAAGGGCAGATACCTGGGGGTTGTAGCTTACTGAATGCTGGTCCCCGCAATCATGCAGGAAGCCTGTAACAGTGGAGAGAATGCAGAGGTGCCAGTGTTTCTGTTAATAATGACAGTTTTAGTCCATGAGAAGCATGCGGAATGGCAAAGATTAAATGATGTGGAGGTGCCAGTATTGGACTGGGGTGGACAAGGTCAAAAATCACACTACACCAGGTTATAGTCCAACAGATTTATTTGAAGACACAAGCTTTTGGAGTCTCGCTCCTTCTTCAGGTGGCCTTGTGAATGCGTGATAGCAGAGAAAAGATGGTGTCACTTCGTCTTGTGGAATACAGAACATCAATGATCATCTTTCTGCTGTGCTGGGTGTTCCACTTCACCAGGGACACCATCGTGATCCCGGCTGCAATAGTCTTCTGTCATTGCCTCCTGCAGTGTTTTGCAGGAAAAAGGACTGCCTTCCTCTTAAATCTATCCACCAAGGTCTCTAGATCTCTGCCGTTGATTCAGGGTGCAAGATTTCCTTTCCTCTGGGCCTTGTTTTGAACTCAGAGACTCGGTAACCACATTGTGAGGGATCATTCCTGACTTACAGCATCTGCAGTATTGTGCTGCTAGTTTTTAAATATGGCGCCAGTGGTGCGAATGTCAGACCAGCCAGGCAGTGATGAGCACCTCCATCTCTCTGGCCATGCAATTGCCCAGGAATGAGTCAGATTGCATGACTAATGAGGTGATGAGTGGAAGGTTGCGAGAGAAACGTCACTCAGAGCAATGGAGACCCACTATGAATCTCATCTGATAAAACACTAACTGAAATTGGGAGAGTTCCACCGGAAGACTAGTCAGAATATACACCTAATACTGTCACACTACGTCAATATTTCAAGCAGCCTAGGCATCTCACTGTGATTCATAACTTGCTAGTGTTCAATGAGAGATTATTAATACTAAGAGCACTTAGACCTGAAACTCTTTAGAGAATTCATCAACATAATTTGAGCATTACAAGGCTGTGTGAGAGAACACAACAGGCAGTGTGGAGGCCAAGGATTACATAGAAAAAATAATCAATAGTTGCATTCTGTGTGTGGTGATCAGCCAAAAGAAGAAAGAACCACTATTATCATCTTTTCCATCAAGGTCATTGGGAACACTTGAGAATGGATTTATTTGCACCCAAAGGAAGATCTTTGTTATTATTATAGATCTGTACTTGAGGTGGATCAATGTAAACCACCTATATAAGATCAATACAGAACTACCACTCAAGAAAATCTTGTCAATACATGGCATTCTGAACATTGTTGTCTAGGACACTGGTCCATGTTTTGCAAATAAGCAGTGCAAGATGTTTGCAGGTGAATATGGTTTTATTCATATCCCAAGTTCACTCCACTAATCTTGAACGCATACAGAGGTGAGGAGCTTGTGAATTTCAGCATAATTGAATAAAAAAAGATTTAAATCTTGCACAATTAAATTAAAATTGTCACTGCTACAGATTTATCACTGTTAATGTTATTGATGGATAGGAGTTTGAGAACATAACTTCCATCTCTGTCTCAGAAGCTACAGCCAAACATCCCTGAGAACAATCATAACAAACTGAAATGGTATGAAGATGAGCAAAGAGACAACCAGGCTGGAAACTTAAATAAATAGTACAAAACACAATTGCTAGCACAGTAAAGTCCAGGGACAGAGTACGGGCAAGAGATCAACAGAGAAAAGGAATTATCATAGAAAAAAAAAACCAAGATCATATATGGTTCAAAAAGATCAAGGGATGAGGTCCACAAAAACCATCAAACTAAATTACTTTTAACACGAAATCAAGACTATGACTGAATGCTTTTTTTGAATATACTATAATATTTGTATTTCCAGATGTGTCTTCAAGTTGGTGATTCCAACTTTGTACAGGTGTCCAGGGATTTTAATTATGTAGAATTACAAAGTCATAGAGTCATACAGCATGGAAGGAGGCCCTTCAGTCCAACTAGTCCATGTCAATAAAAATCCCAAAATAAACTAATCCCACCTGTCTGCTCCTGGCCCAAGTCCCTCCAAACCTTTCCTATTCATGTACTTATCCAAATGTCTTTTAAATGTTGTAATTGTACCCGCATCCACCATTTCCTCAGGAAGCCCATTCCACACGCAAACCACCCTCTGTGTAAAAAATTTGCCTCTTATGTCTTTTTTAAATCTCTCTCCTCTCACGTTAAAAATATACCTAAAAATAGTCTTGAAATTCTCCCACCTTAGGAAAAAGACAACTACCATTAACTCTATCTATACCTCTCATTATTTTATAAACATTTCTCAGGTCACCTCTTAACCTCCTTTGCTCCAGTGAAAAAAAGTCCCAGCGTATCCAGCCTTTCCTTATAACTCAAACCTTCCATACCCAACAACATCTTGGTGAATCTCTTCTGAACCCTCTCCAGCTTGATTATATCCTCCCAAAACTGGGCGATCAGAACTGGACACAGTATTCCAGAAGAGGACTCACCAATGTCCTGTACAACATCAACTTGACATCCCAACTCCTATACTCAAAGGACTGAGCAACGACAGCAAGTGTGCCAAATGCCTTTTTAACCATCCTGTCTTTTTGTAATGCAAACTTCAAAGAATTATGTACCTGCACCCCTAGGTCCCTCTGTTCTACAGCACTACCCAAGACCCTACTATTAATTGTATAAGCCCTACCCTTGTCTGTTGTACCAAAATGTGATACCTCGCATTTATCTTCATTAGTGTTCTTGCAAACAGATCTTATCATTTGTAATTACACTAATTTTTGCAGTCTTTAAATATCCATTTATGGCAGGAATTACTTTCAAAATGTGTTTTAATGTACAGGTGCACTACCACGGCAACTACAGCGATGGTGCTGTAAAGCTGGAAATTTTGAAGAGTCACAGTGGTATAAACGTTACACAACCTAGCATTCCTGGACCTTTGATTCCCTCATTGTAACCATTTGCTTATAGTTTTTGACAAAAATTTCAGAAAATCAAGAAGAGTGAAGATTTAGTCAATGGCCTTTAAAATTGCTAATTGTAACTGCAGATGTTTTCATATCCATTGTGTTTTTTTAGCCGTTAAGAATAGTTTTCTGAATTTCATTGCAAGTTTAGTTGGTCTAAACTTGGTTACTTTAGTGAAGCCTTGAAAAATCTTTAATTCACTCTGTTCATGAATTAAACAATCCAATTATAATTTCATGTTGCAGTTTAATGTCTGAGCCAAGTGATTGAGGTTTTACTGATTTCCATGATGTAATGAACCAAATCTGCCTTCCTTTCCAGATTATTAAAGACATTCAGTTACTGGGGCTGGTAGCTGGAGTGGTTGGTTTGGATATTCTGATTCTGGCAACATGGAGCATTGTTGACCCATTGCAGTGTACGCAATCCTTAAATGCAGGAGTGAGGGTAAAACAAACCTTTAATTTTGAAGCTTTTAGTTTCTCTTTTCTCCTGCAAAATAATTTTTTTTGCTTTAATATTAGTCAATCTCCTTTGATATTGAACAGAAATTGTATTGTTTTCCTCATTCCTCAGGCAGTTGAAAAATATCTTTCCTACTCCATTACAATCATGAAATGTTGTGTTTCTCGGTACACAGAAATCTGGATAATTCTTATTTCACTTCTAAAGGTAATAATTCTTATTTCTTCACTCTTAGTAAATTTTGGTTTGTAAAGATTAATCTCATTACCTATCCTTTTTATTCTTGGTAGGACGTGTCACAGCAGCTCTGACAACACTTCATTTATTGGGCCATTTTTTGAGCAAAAGGCTAAAAATAGCTGCCACTGACATCAAAACAATTGTGTATTATGGACTTGAGTCAGATGTAAACTAAATAAAGGCAGATGGCAGGCTTTGTCTTTTGGATATTATTGAAACAGTCAGGTTTTGATAAGGGTCCCGACCCGAAACATCAACTTTCCTGCTCCTCTGATGCTGCCTGGCCTGCTGTGTTCCTCCAGCTCCACACTGTGTTATCTCTGACTCCAGCATCGGCAGTTCTTACTATCTCCAGGTTTTGATAATATCTTGCAACAGTTATGGTGAGTTATTTTCTTCTGGTTCTGCACTACAGTCCCCAATTTATTCAATTTCACTTCATGACGTGGTGGAATTTGAAGGCCTCAGCATGACTGCTGGTTTGCTTCTATAACTACTGCAATATTTCTTTTCAACCTTGATGATCTTTTGACTCTCCATCTTGATTATTCTATATAAATTACGATCAAATAGCGGCCTTGTCAGTGGTCATTTCCAATGAATAAATTTTCGTTAAAAAAAACTTGCATTTTTTAAACTAAAATTCATGTTAAAGCAGTTTGGACATTAGTAGACCTATCATTCACAAAAGTCTTTCTGCCAAATGACAAATATTTTTATGCACTGCATCTAAAGCATATCCATCTAGACAGTATCAAGGTGGTCACTCTCTTCTGCAGAACAGGAATATTCCTGGGAACGAGGCTTATTTTCTCCATTACCAAACATGTCCTTAAACCGTTCTTCCCGCCACTTTTACTTTCAACAAGCACAATTAACTTGTGGACTTTTGTCACTAAGATTGGGACTGAACATTTAACTGTCCTCAGTGTTTCTCTTCCCACATCTGCCTTCTCCTCATCCACCAAACCAAACTTTACCTTTGGTTTTAACACTTTACACCTGCCAACCCTGACCGTGCACATTCATCTGCCTTCTATATCTTCTTCATGATGTCTCAGAGTTCATCTTGTCATGCCCTTGACTATATCATACCAAATAGCTGACCACCCAGCCTTCCTTCTTGACCCTTTTGACAATGGATAACATTATAAACTGGTTAGGTCCCTTGGTTGTTATCCCCTGTTTCCAAAAACATTATCATCACCCCTTTCTTAATATAGAACATTACAGCACAAGAGGCCATTTCATCCAGTATGTCCATTTTGGCTCTCGTAAGGGACAGTTCATATATTACCATTTCCCCCATCCTCTTCCCACATCCCTTGTCTTCAGGAATCTCTTGTGGGCTATTGCTCATCCCTGAAATCTTTCAAACATGTTTGTTTCAAAATATGGCCTCCCTTTGCAACAACTCCAGATTCAGATTTCTCCAATCATTTCCTGTCCCTGCCTTATCATTGAAACAGCTCTAACCAAAATCACAAATGACAGCCATTTGACTGAGGTGCTTTGTCCTTCCTTAAGCACTCAGAAGTCTTCAAAATGGTCAATGGTGCCATCTTTTTCCCCTCCATTTCACAACGTACTAAGACTACCCTCACTTGGTTTCATTGTTAGCTATCTAGTTCTAGGTACAGCATCAAAGCAGTGGGTTCACTTCTGCCCATTCCATTAGCTCAAGGTGCCCATGAATCAAGTCATGCCATACTCTTCTTCCACTGGCTCCAAATTTTAAAATTCTTATCCTTTGTTTGTTTAAAATCCTTTAATGAGCCTATCCCCTTAATTCTGTAATCACCTGGAAACCTACAGCTGCACCTCTCTCCCCTTTATACCAACGTAGATGACTGTTCATTTTGTTGTTTAGGCCAGACTCCAGCTTTACCTCTCTCCACAAAGCTTGTTCAACTTCCATTGTCCAACTGCTTCTCCAACATCTACTCAATGGATGAACCATAATTTCCTCAACATAACTAATGGGGAGACTAAAGCTATCCTCTGGAACTGCCTTAGTGTCCATACACTAGCCCCAGATTCCAACTCTTGTCTCTGGCTGTTCTTTCTTGCATAATAATCTATTTGCAATTTCAGCATCGTACCTAACCAGAGCTAAACTTCTGATCCTTATTCTCTTTCAGAAAGTCACCTATGACCACCTTCATAACTTCAGCCTATATGCTGCTGAAAATCTCATCCTTACTTTATATACATCCAGACTGACATTTTTCCAGTTCTGTTTCTCAGCGGCTTGTACACAGAGCCTAATTCAATGTGTTTGTTAATGGAGTTCCGGTTGGAATACCAGTCCTCCAGGCATTCCCTGGCGTGTCTCTGTTTGGCTTGTGCTATCATCGATGTGTTGTCCAGTCGAATTCGTGTCTCTTTTTGTCCGTGTGTAGTGAGACAAGTGAGAATTGGTCATGTCTCTTGGTGGCTAGTTGACGTTTGTGTATCTGTATTGTCAATTTTCTTCCGGTTTGGTGGACTTTTTCACAGTCCTTGCATGGTATTTTGCATATTACATTGGTTTTGCTGGTTTTGGGTATGGGATCCTTTACATTTGTTGGTAGCTGTAATAGAATGGTTGTCGGTTTGTGGGCTACTCTGATACCTAGGGGCCTGAGTATTCTTGTGGTCGTCTCTGAAATGTCTTTGATGTATGGTAGGATGATAAGTGTGTCTGGTCATGTTGTGTCATCCTGTTGTAGTCTGTCTCGGAGGTAACGGTGAATTGTGCTTTTCGGGTATCCATTCCTTTTGAAGACTCCATATAGAATACTCCTGTTCTGCTTTGCATAGTTCTGGGTTGCTGCAATGTGTTGTGGCTTGTTTATCAACAAACACATTGAATTAGACCCTGTGTACAAACCACTGAGAAACAGAACCTGAAGTAATGATCAGAGGTATAGATAGAGTGGACAGCCAGAGACTTTTTCCTAGGGTGGAGGTAGCTATTACGAGGGGGCATAGTTTTAAAGTGAGTGGAGGTAGATATAGGGGAGACATCAGAAGTAGGTTCTTTACTCAGAGAGTGGTCAGGGCGTGGAATGCATTGCCGGAGAGGGTAGTGGAGTCGGCCTCATTAGGGGCATGTAAGCAGCTATTAGATAGGCATATGGATGATAGTATAAGGTAGGGGTGGAGGTTACATAGATCTTAGGATTAGGGTAAAAGTTCAGCACAACATCGTGGGCCGAAGGGCCTGTACTGTGCTGTACTGTTCTATGTTCTATGTTCTAAAACCAACCACCCCAGCAAACCGAGGCATATAAATGACAAGCGGGACAGAACACCAACACTTCATCGGAGGTACACTGACAATGTTACCTAGCAGGGTGATGAAACACTTGCAACCAAACCCACTGGATCGGCGAGATGTCTACAACTTCATCCACAACCCAGCAACAAACCTTCTTGAAGACTTTAGACCCACATTCTGTCCTAGACTAACACATCCATTCTCATCCAATTGTTTACTTCCCTTCCTAGCTTACCCCTCCTGTTCTCTGTATCTCATTCGACCTCATCCTCTGGACTCTTAGCTCTTCCAGTCTTGGCTTCTAGTGCATCCTCTCCCTCCCTTTGTTTCACCATTAATGGCTGTTCCTTAAGCTCTGGACGTCCTTGACTAAGCTATTCACCCAACCTCTCCGACATTAAAGTTCTTTGTAAAATATCCTCATTTGGCTTTGCACCCATCAATTTCTGATAATGCTTCAGAAGCAATTCAGGAAGTATTTTGCATTAAAGGTGCTATATAAATGAATGTTGTATTATTAAGTGTAATCAGAATTTAATTTTTTATTCCTGTTAGCATGTCTTAAGCAAGAACTCTGTCTTAGTCATGTTATCTCATGCCACTTCATGCTTCAATTAATCTTTGCTTATATCTGCATCTCTTGTCCCTATACACCTATCAACTTTTCTCCTCCTCTGCACTATCTTTTTGCTTTGTGGCTCATCCTCCAGTTTCTCTGTATTATTTGATGTTGACAACATGCATTTCTGCCATGATGACTTGTTGAAATTCTCTGGGTAAGCCAGTTAATAGGTTTTGGTTTTTAAAAAGAAATGTTTCGATTGATTAGTTTTGTTACATGGTTTAGTTTATTTACATGTTACTTACAGCTATTGTAATTTTCTAAACACAGGGAAGTCTTCTGTTCTATGGCACATACCTAGCTGGTTTAACCAGCAACGTTAGCTGTCCGCCTGTAAACCAGACTGTCACCATCATGGTAGGAGTTTATCTGATCATGTTTACTGCAGGAATAATCATTCCCATTACCAGATTCCTGAGCACCTGGCCCAATCTTTCCTATGGTATCACATCTGGAGGAATATTTATATGTACCTCAACTATCAACTGTCTCATCTTCATCCCTCAGGTAAGAGAAATTTGAAGAATTCAAACATATTTAGAATGATAGCATTTATTAACTAACAGAAGAATAGAAAATGATGCATTATCATTTCTTTCACTTCTGCATAACATTTGAAATGTTGTCTATGCTACTGTCTTCCATTGCCCTTCCTACATTGTCCAGGTGATGAAACTGAACTTGTTACTGAACCTGCTACTGGATTCAAAACCAGGATATCTCTCCAAACTCCCTCTTTTCATCACGGAAAAATTCCATTCCAAAATCTCTTTCAACTTACTTTTTTTTCATTCCTTGACTGCACGTTACCTACTGAGAATGTTATCCAAAGCTATGGGATATCTGTTTATACTTATGTTGATGACAATCTCGTTTTCACCACATCCTTTAACTTTATGGCCACATCAATGTTGTCTGATATCTAGTTATTAAGAGTCACAATCTCTTCCAATTGAGCTCTGGAATAGCTAAAGATATTAATTTCCTCCTTCCCAAACTATAATATGTTACTGACTACACTACCTTCCCAGAGGCTGAGGCTAGTGCATATCTTAAAATAGAGGTTCCCAGAGCTGAGGTTCAAAGCACACATCCTATCAAAGCAGGTTTTTCACTTCCATCTCTTTGTAGCTAAGTCTCCAATTCATATCCTCTCTTTTCAACTTCTGTGTATATCAAAGGACAGGATACATGGGTGCAGTATACTTCTCACAGTTGTGTTAGAGCTTAGTTTGTATCATACACAGATGCTATCCCATGGTTCATTCCTTTGCAGTGCTTAGTATCAAATTTCAGCCATGCCAAACAAAGGTTACTGTTTTTCTGTAGGGATAGTTTCTCTAGATTTTCTCTGAGAGAAAATTAGATTAGAAAGTTCTCCACAGCTGTAGCTTTGGTGCTCCTAACAGCCAACCAAAGACATATTTGTCATTTAAACATTGGCAATGTACCTGCCTTCTCAGTATCAAGAGCTTGAAACATGAGGAGAGCAACACATTCAAAATAGAATTACCAATGTAATTTTAAAGGCCTTTTAAGCATCAAGCAAACAGACATCTATCAGTTCCTTAACAAAAGTGGAACTCAAACAGTGCGCACATGTTAAATCTAGGGCCTGAATCCTGTGTCCTTGTCCATGATGTGTTTGGCGGCGGGGGCATTTAATCAGGTGGGACAGTGCTAGGTAGGATTAAATTCAGGGCAGGAAGGTCCGTGAATGGATTTTACACATTGCTGCTAATTGATATCCTTAAATGGTCAATTAATATATTAGAAAAATATATTTGTGAATGATTAGAAGTGGAAAATGGAACTGTTTTAACATCACTGGCTTGGAGGGAGATTTATCATATGATTTCTTGGGAAATGTGTTGAGGAGAACTATGGGTTATTTGCTATTTACTGGAAAAGCACAAAAATTTGAAAAACTGTGTTGACCAATGCATTTTAAAAAGAGATAATAGATCACTATTTTGACCTTAATTGCCAGACAAACAGAATGGGTTTGCAAGAGGCCTTGTGCTGAAGGTTGCTCAGCAACAGCCTCTGTACTTTTTGGGTTCTTTTGCCAAAGACATGGGAGTGAGAAAAGGACCTCCAAACTGGAAATACCAAATTTCATCTCTTCTGAAGAGTGGGAATTGGAAGAAAGCTGGTGGTTGCTGGACAGCTTTGCAAGGAAAGGAGTTCTGTCTCTCAAAAATGTATTTGTGAATCCTGAAAGCTTCAACGATCAGGGTTCCTAACTATTTCCCAGTTGAATCTAAAATTTGGTCCAGGATCTTCAATTGCTCTGCAACCAAACATCATTCATATCTCATCGACAAGAAACCGAAAGTAATTATGAGAAGTCAAACCATTCTATCTTCTGCACTTGAATCCTTGGCCTACAGGGTTTTTGTTCATTTTTGCTTATTTTTCTCATTCATAATACCTTTGCAGAGCTTCACTGTCATGTCCTGCCTGTGTATAAATGTGTGTTTGGGATATGTTTGCTTTGCTTCTACTGAGTACCAGTGGTGGAGGGAATGAACGTGTGTGTGAATGTGATGCCAATCAAGTAGGTTGCCTTGTCTTGTCTGGTGTCGAGTGTTGTTGGAGCTGCAATCTGCCGGGCAAGTAGAGACTTTTGTATCACACTTCTGATTTGTGCCTTGTAGATGGTGAACAGGCTTTGGGGATTCAGGAGGTGAATTACTTGCTAAAAGTTTTCTAGCCTTTGATCTGGCTGGCTTCTCACCTGCTGGGAGATGTTCATCGTCTGGCAGTTGTGTGGCGTGAATGTCACTATACCAATATCAGTGGTTTATATTTTATACTTCGCATATAAATTGTCCTCTCTTCTTTCTGAGGATTTTTAAAGGCTTCAAAGGTCGACTTATACAGTACAATCTATGATATTTAATTGCTTGTCTTTGTAAAGCAGCTTCAGCACAGTCATGAGGTCAGTAGGGTATTTTGCTGCAAAAAAGAGAATTTTATTTTTTATGAAATTGCTGTTGTCTAGAATTGATGCTTCGTACTGTGGCAGGTTTTTCCTGTCTGCACCATTGTACAGTCTTATTAGCATACAGCTGCTATGACTTATGGCTGCTATCCAGCCTACATACTAGATACATCTTATCACCTCCCAGTTGAATGCACAAAACTCCTTTGAAAGAACACAAAGGGCCACATACTAATTCTTTTCACACCATCATAAGAACATCAATTTCCTTCTTCTGTTTTATAAGTCATTGCTCAATTGTCGTTCTGAAAGTTTGTAGAAACTGAAAATAACCATTCATTTTTGCCAAAGTGTTATTCGAGCATTGTGCTGAATGTGAATATAAAAAAGCCATAATTGAATGTGAAGCTTGTGGAACAGTATTGTATTCTGCCATGTAATTAAAGAAAAGGAACATCCACCAAACACTTGGACTGCTTTTGAACCCTTGAGAAGCCAAAAGATTTTATGGCACAATGGCAGCAATGAAAGAGGCAATTATATGATTACATTTTGATATTCAAATCTGGAGAATTGTCCTTTGAGATTTAAGTTGAATTTTTGCCTCTTAAAGTTAAGCAAAACTCATCCAAAGGACTAAATGAGAGGTGTGTAGGTCATGTTTTAAATTTCCCTCCAACTATTCCTGGTGCATGCTACTTTCATCATATGAGAAACTTAGTGGGTTGCAAACTAATGCTCAGTTAAAGTGACATCAAATTTGCTACTTAAGTAAAAACTGAAAGAACTGCGGATGCTGCAAATCTGGAACAAAAACAGAGGTTGCTGGAAAAGTTTAGCAGGTCTGGCAGCATCTGTGAAGAAAAAAATCAGTTCTGAGGAAGGCTCACCCGACCTGAAACATTAACTCTGATTTTTTTTTTCACAGATGCTGCCAGACCTGCTGAGGTTCTCCAGCAACCTCTGTTTTTGTTGCTACTTAAGTGTCTGCTCCAAAATCAAATTTCTGCCATTACAATTTTTGTGTACTAGTGTGGGTTCCTGAAGGCTGTGAGAACCTTGCAAGGTTAGTTAGTTTGTGAACTTTGGGAAGCCTGCTATGGAGCTAGAAACATCACATAGATGCACTACACCTGTTCAACAAAATAGATGACAGCCATTCACTTGTTCATTTCTCAAGGCAATGCCTTCTCTAATCAAAGTCAAAGTCAATGTGCCTGCTTTAAAATATAAGTAAAGTCTGGCAGTTTACTGCTAGCCATCATTACAGGTGCATCTCCATGGCAATATCTACCAGAGTTCACTTGGCAATGAATCTGTACTCTCCTCTCTTGTTGGTTTTCCTCTTAAACTGGCACTCTTGCGAGTTGTCCTAAAGAGTCCAAGGCAAACAGCTTCAACAAGATGTCTTTTTTTTCAGCAATACTCAAGTTCTGTACTACTAAATGACTAAAAGAATAAATATGATGCTTTATTACAGTGCAATAACTTAGTCTTTGTCTGAAGTGGTTTGTCAGTGCCTGTGTTTGATTGCAAGGTATGGGAGATGGGTGGTTGAGATGTAAGGGTTAAAGCCTAACAATCATGAATTTAATTGCCAACAAATGAGTTGTTGCCAAACACAGTTAGGTCTTCTAACCTGCCAATCTCACCATATTCCAACCTCTGTAGTCCCCCAGCCCTGCCTTGGAAAGCAGCATCCCTGGCAGTGGTGTACTGATAATGTAACTCAACTAGCAATCCAGAACTTCAGGCTAATGCACTGGGGACATGATAAAATTCTATCATGGCAGATCGTGAAATCTGAATTCAAATAAAAATCTGAAATAAAAAGATGGCCTAATAGTAACTGCTGTCAATTGTCTTTTTTTTTAAAAAATCTGCTCCATTAATGTCCTTGTTGGAAGGAAATCTACCATCCTTATCTGTTCTGGCCTACATGTGATTCCATAAGTGTGATTGACTCTTAACTGCCCCCTGAGCAATTTAGAGTGGGTAATAAATGCTTGGCCTAGCTAGTAAATGCTCATATCCATGATTTTAAAAAAGATTGCAGCTGTATCCAACATCTGGACCAGTGTCAAGAAATAGCTCTTATTTTCCAGGTCTTCTCTATCCAATTTGACATAGTAAATTTTTATTTAAATGAATATTTTAGAAATAAGTTATCCAAATGTTTACCTTCAGGATCTCTATATTGTATTTTAAATTGTAAGCCATGAGGCAACCTCATGTAGGATGATGATAAGATTCTATATTCATGATTCTTGACTGAGCATTGTTAGAAACAGCATCATGGTTTAAGACTGCAGGAACAGAAAATAGCATAGCCTCAAATTTTATAGCACCTGTGATAGCAACTGTCAATGTTCACCATTACTGCTCCTCTGAAACAGCAACTTCAGGAATTCCGTATATTTGCAATTAAACTTTGAATATAGATCATCTTTGTTTCATACATAACTTTCAATAAATTCCTAAAAATCCAAATTAATTATTGAGTTCTGTCAACAGGTCAGACAGTGGAAGCAATTTGAGGAAGAATTAAACCTTACTCCAAATCAGATGGCCAAATATTTCAACAGTCCAAGCAAGAGCTTTCGGTCCATGTACAGTGATGACCAGATCTATTACCTGCTTGGAGAAAATAACTCCATGAAACGACTCCTCACTGAGGTAGTACAGTAATGTATAATGCAAACAATTTGACTTGAAGATATATTAATGAGTTACTGAAGATTAGTAAAGATATGGATTTATAGCATTATCCTTATACAGTGGGGCTGATAATGCTATCAGATGCAACAAAGCAGCAGTACTTTGGTGTCTTCTCCAGGAATAAAGACTATTCTTGTTGTTGCAAATTGAACATAGCAATGTGATTGGGGATTGGTTGTAGTCTGTGAACATGTGAAAAGTTCTGTTTTAACAGCTAAATTTGATTCGAACATCTGAGCAGATCTAAATTTGATCCCAATATTCTTATCACCTGGTGAAGCAATGGTACAAGATGAACAAGGAATAGTGGATGCTGCAGGACACCCAGACAAAAAAATAATTTTTTTTAATGGAGAATATGGATAATAAAAAAATCAAGAAACACAATGCAGGTTCAATCACAGATATTGTGAAAATAAAAAATATATTATTTCTGACAGAATGCTTTCTCTTCAATGTGATGAAAGGAAAACTAGATGCTGCTATGTCTTTCACTGTTTTTCAGTTCATCTGTAATAAAAGATAGGAACAGAGGTGTAGAAATTAGACCATTTAGTCTGCTTCACCTTTCAGTCTGATCATAGCTGTCTTGGTTGTAGTCTTAACTCAATTTTGTTTTCTGCAGACACTCTACCTCCTCTTGGCAACTTACTTTTTTTACTATTTCAGCGTCATCAGCTAGTTACTATATATTCAGTCCCTTAATCCAAATCATTGATAGGGATTATAAATAGTTGAGGTCCCAGCACTAACTTCTGTGCACTCCATTACAACTTGCCAACCTGAAGATCATTTATCCCTGTTTTCTGCTTCCTGTTAGCTAACCAGTTACTCTCTACATTATGTGCTCTTATCTAGTTCAGCAAACCTTGGTGTGACACCTTATCAAATGCTTTTGAAAAGGCAAGTACACACCTATTGGTCCTCTCTATTCACTGTTACTGTTACATCTTCAAAAAACTCTTCTAGATTAGTTAAACATGACTTCGCTTTTACCATACTGCTCTGCTTGATCGCATGTGATTTTCTAAGTATCCTGTCAAAACCTCCTTAAAGTTATGGTTTAAGCATTTTCCTTATGCTATATGGAGAAATCTGTTTGGTAAATTGTTTCACTTTAATTGTAGAAGCATTTTGATCAATTATTCCTATAGAATAAAAAATAAATCAAAGATTACAAGATAGTCTCCAACTGTAATATGTTTTTCTTTCTCTCCATTAGAAAAATGCAGTAATTGATAGTCTGCAGGAACAGGTTAATAATGTGAAGGATAAATTGGTGCATTTAATGACACCAGATTGCACAGAAGAGCTTAAGGATTACATTTCCACAACAGGATCCAAGACAGCACACTACCCTTTGATTAATTTTGAGGTTAAAAGTCATAACACGGCAACAAAAGATCCAGAAAGTGAAAAGTCTTTGTCAGACAGACAGACGAATCTGGATCAGACTTTTGGTTCACAGCAAGACCTTAAACCTCTGTCACTGCAAAGTAACTTCGACCAAATCATGGGAGATTCTACGAATCAACTAGACTCAACTTTGTATCCTCAAAAAAGGCCAGAAAATGTTGTAAATTATCAGAATTTTAATAGAAGTGTTCTGAACCACCTAGGGCATCCAGAAAATTCTGAGATTAATACAGAAGATTTTTCCAATTCATGTGATACCTCAGAAATAGCTTCAGAAGTTCAGATAAATGACTGTGTGAAAATGACTCCACGACCAACAGGTCAGATCCTGGTCTCCTCTGCAATCCATCCATCAATTAGATCCAGGTCGATTGAATGTGCTTCTGTCAAGGATCCAACAAAAATGATTAAAAACAATTATGTGAGCAGTGAGAAACTGCAAGAAATTCTACAAGATCTAAATGTTAATGCTGTCACCTCAATCTGCTCACCAGAGAGACCAAGACGAATGCTCCAGAATTTTTCACTTGAACAGTGTACCCAGAGAGCAGAGCAATTAAAACATTGCTATCATAGTATTTCTCCATATATGGTGAGGCAGAGGAGGCCACCTTTCTATTCAATAACGGGTACACCTTCCCATTATTTTCCACACTCAACAGCTCAACAGACTAAATGCCTGGTTAATGAAAATATAAGTAGGGATACAAGAATTTCTGAGACTAGTCGACTAGAATGCATTCACCACAAAAGATTAACTGATGAAAACGGACCTACAAGTCTCTCAGCAACCCTAAGCTCAGTGAAGAAACTGGATGCACTGTATGACAGCTATCAACTGTATGGCAAAAAAGACCAAAAAAATGGCTGCATATACTGTTCAGCTTTAGAAGGGAAACATATTACGAAGCCGTATTCAGACCTGGATTTAAAGAAAGCACACTTATGCTTGGAAGAAAGTGAAGTAGCTGGTAAAGAAGGAGCTTTTCAAACTTACCAGTATGATTACTCAGATTCAGAATCAAGCAGTTCAGATGAAACATTTTGCTGTTACCACAGGGCATGCTGTGAAGTGTGCTGTCGAGGCTCATACAATTCCAGTACTTCAGAAACCTCAGATAGTGAGCAATATAATCCATCATTCATTTGGTCACAAAAACATTTTCGTAATCATCCACTTGTTAATTTTAAAGAGGACTTAGAACCCACGTTTGTATGACCAATTCAAAGAACTTGGAAGATAGTCACATGCACCACATAAATTCTGCTTTGTCTGTAAGATTATCTTTTCTCTGTGTTTAGTAGCTCACTCTGTTCTTTTTATAATGAGGGAGAGTGAATGACTCGATTACTGAGATGTCCTTCCCTATTTGTATGGCTGGTTTTGATAAAATTACTCAAAATTAATGCTTGAATGTAAACAAACTGTAAGATCACTCTATACAGAAAAGTACAAATTTATCCAATGGTTCAAAAACACTTGCCACCTGCAATTGTAATCTTGGTACCTGAAATGTAATTGTTTTATATTTAAAGAAAGAAATTTCATTTAGCTTCATAGGAGATTGACCATCTATTGTCAGGTTTCAGACTTCTACTGAGGACCTTTGACAGCACTCATACAGTTTTTAACCAATCAATTGAGACAGATACTAAATAAACATAGATTGATTGCAGAAATTTTAAGATGGGGGAATCATATTGCCCCTTTTTTACAGATACAAATGATTTTTCTCTGAAATCACTTACCTGTTGAATTTAGGGTAACCAGAACATGAAAATCCTATTATAACTATACATAGATGGAAAATTCCACAAAACCCATGATGTACTTAAAGAATAATATCATGGTACTTTATCAGCAGATTAGGTTTTTTAAATTTGAACTTTTGCTTGACGTATAAATGTTGCTTTGATGCCATATAACCTAAGGTTTATAAAAAAAAACTATAACATTTTCCATTACAGTATACTGCTGTGATCTATTCCCTAAAAATAAGAGCTTGGCAGGTTCTACCTAAGTGTGTGTATTAATGTTGTTAACCTTTGCCTATGAATTACTGTACAGAGCATCAGACTGATCGAATTAGCTATATAAGCATCTATTTATTCTCCAATTCAGTGACATCCTGCAAAACTAAAAACTTAATATTGAATTATTTTTTAATCAATGGATGCATTAGAAAATAAGAACTAATCTAATATATCATTGGATAATCACAAGAAATAGGTGCAAGAATAGGCCATTCAGCCCCTTGAACTTGCTCCAACATTCAGTAAGGTCATACCTAATCTTATTGTGATTTTAACTTCACTTTTCTGCCTGACCCCATAATCCTCCATTCCCTTGTCAATCAGAATTCTGTCAAACTCAGTCTGAAATATATTCAATTATCCAGTTTCCAAAGCTCTCTATGGAAGGAATTTCAAACACAGATATCCCACTCAAGAGAAGAAATTCCTTAGCGTCACCATCTTAAATGGGAGACATCATATTTTAACCGGTGCCTTGTAACTCTGGATTCTCAACCCCACCAAGATGAAATATTCTCTCAGCATCTATCTTGTCAGACCGTCTTAGAATATTATGTTTAAACAAGATCACCATTGTACTTCCTACCATTCAATGAGTAAGTCCTTGCCTTGTAAGTCTTCCCAAGATGCATCACCTCACACTTTAAAATTAAATTCCATTTGCCACTATTCAGCCCATCTGACTTACTTATCTATATTATCCTGTAACCTAAGGCTTTCCTCCTTACTATTTACCACACCACCAATTTTCATATCATCTGCAAACCTACTGAACATTCTTTCTACATTCATATCCAGATTATTAATGACCACAACAAACAGCAAAGAACCAGCACCAAAACGTGTGGTACACCACTAGACAGCAGTCACAAGTTATGAAGTATCTCCTTGAATATCTGCCACTGTTTGTCTACTATCTTACATTTTAACCTATTTACCAGTCCACTTTAATCAATCTGTTTTCATACTCTTGTAATTGACTTCAAAGTTTAAGTCACTATTTATGGATTTACATATCTCACTTTCAAACTGAATGCGAAATTTCATCAGGTTTCGATCAATCTTGCCTTGAGGATCCGTTACTATGAGGGCTTTAATTAATCCTATCGCATTACACAAAATCAGGTCCATTAGTAAGCGTGGGTATTAATAATTCCAATAGCACACATTCAATCCCAAAATAGCTGAGGTAGTTTTTGGAACCTGCCTCTTCTTCTCAATCCATTATGATATCATGGTATTGATTAACAAACTTCAGACATTTAGGACATTACATGATGAGACAGAGAGAGTTGTTGAGAATTGTAACAGTAGCCACACTGTAGCCAACATAATACCACAAAAAGTTGAACATGGTTTCCTTGCTTTTACATTTGATGAAAGCAAAATGTCAGGAAGAGACTGATGAAATGAAAAGGCAAATTGAGAAGAGCACATATCCATTTTACATGCTATCACAATTGAATTTCATTTTCAATCATTTCTCTGATAAGACCCAGAGTACAATTTGTCCTTTTTAGTGCATATTTTAACTTATTTATCATCATTAAAGATAAGTCACTTCTAGATATGTGTTTCCCCATTCTGAAGAATTTTACCATCTTGAATATACTTTCATTATTTCTTTTCCCCGAAAGAGCTAATTCCTGTTGCCAGTATTTGATTATTCAGTCATCCATCCATATATTATCCTACTCTGCTAACCTACCTTTGAATTTCTGAATTCCCTGAATCTACCCCCAGAAATAACATGCCTTTTTCCCTAATTTGGTCTCATCAGAAAATGTTGATACAACCCTTCCTGTGTCAGGTACAGCCATATAAATAAATTGGAAACAGAGGCCCAATTAATCCATCAATGAAAAGTGAAAATCTGAAAATGCAACTTTTGTTGTCTCACTGTTCTTTGTTCTGTCAGTGAAATAAAACTAACAATTTTCTAGTTTTTGCACCACAACATCAACAGTAGGCAGGAAACTAGTATGTTACCTTGTCTTAATAAGTGTGATTGGAGATGAAGTAATAAAATGGAAGTATGTTCTAACAGTCTGTAAATTGTTTGTGAATTATTACATAATGTGTGTTGTACTCATCTGACTATTAAAATGCCACAAAACAAATTTATGAAAAGAAGAATTCAACTGAGTACCCTAACTAGTCTTGTGATGCAGTCAGCTGTTGCTAAGTTGCCTTAAAGTCCTATGATGGTCTTAGAAACCTATCCTACTATGAATATCCATATCATCTTTGGACTGTTATGGTTCAATATAATTTTAACGTAAATTGTAGAGGACCAACACTCAGTTTGCTTAAAACAAAATAGAGATGTGAAACACAAAAACAAAAATTACTGGAGAAACTCAACCTTAGAAAAGGAGAAAATAGAACCTGTCTTGGAGCAAGTATGTTTATTCTAACTCTGTTTTCTGTCCACAGATGCTGCCAGACTGGCTTGAGTTTCTCCTTACTACTTTCTTTTGCAAATATTGTCGAAACTCTTGCTATACATTTTACATTTCTATCTTGTTTCCTGTCTCTAATTTCTAATACTCTAATTTCTTTCACTTGCTTAATCCTTTAGCCAGTCTCTGCTGTTCTTTATATTCTGTCCAATCATCTGACATTCCACTCATCTTTGTGCAATTATATGCTTTTTCCTTAAGTTTGATGCTTTCCTTAACTTCTTTAGTTAATCACTGATGGTTGGTTCTTCCCTTAGGATTATTTTTTAGGAATATATTTATTCAGCGTATTCTGAAATACCTCCTTGAATGTCTGCCATTGTTTATCTATTGCAATCATTTGATGTATTCCTTAGCCTAGTATCCCAGTTCACTTCAGATAGATCAGCTTTCAAGCCCATGTTTAAGCCTTTATTTATTCTTAAATACTTAAATTGGTTCACACATTTTTCACTTTCAAACTGAATGAATAATTCAGTCATATTATGGTTGCTGCTATTTAGGAGTGCCTTTATTCTAAGATTATTAATTAATTATGTAATATTATACAATGCCAAGTCAGTTCCAGAATATGCCACTCTAAGAAACGATCTTGAAAGCATTCTATAAACCTGTCATCTAGGCTACCAATGTCAACCTGATTTTTCCAGTTTATATGTAGATTAAAATCATTTATGATTATTGCTGTCCCTTTATCACAAGCGCCCAATATTTATTCTTGTATACTTCATACCACATTGTGGTTACTATTAGGAGGACGACATACCACCCCTACTGGTGACATTTTTCCTTAGAAATTCTTCATTTCTACCCAAAGTGATTCTATATCTTAATCTCCTGAACCTAGGATTCTATCTAACTATTGCACCAATGACATCCTTGATTCACACTTTCATATAGCTTCCTTTTCTTTTTGAATGTCATAGCCTGCTCAACATTCAGGATTCAGTTCTTGTCATCATGCAGCCAAATTTTTAAACAGTTATCAGATCATATTTATTTATTTCAATGTGCACTATCAATTCATTTACTTTGCTATGAATACTACATGCATTCATATACAGAGCCTTCAGTTTTATATTTTTCTTATCTTCATAACACCTAAACTTGATGATGTATTTATAGGGTTATTCTCTGACCATCATTTTTCATATAACTATTTTGCTCACCTGCCTTGATTCAATAAGATCATGGCTGATCTGTTTGTTTTAAATTCCACATTTCTCATTAGCTTCTTGATTCATCTGCTCAGCAATAATTTATCCAACTCAAATACATTCATAACACAACACCCTTCAGCCCACCTTTTCTGCACCAGCCAAAGATCTGACCATAATCTTATTTTCTAGTTCTTGATCAATAGCTCTAGAGGCTATGGCAATGCAAGTGACTATCCAAATACTGCTTAAATGTTACAAGAGTTTCTAACTTAACCATTCTTTTAAGGCAGTGAGTTCCAAACTCCCACTGCACTTTGGGTGAACAAAATTCTACTCAACTCTCACCTTAGCCTTCTCCCTCTGTCCTTAAATCTAGACCCCCGTGGTTAGTGACCCCTCTACTGATGGAAAAAGTATTCACTTCATCAATGCCCTTCATAGTCTTATTACACCTCTATCATGTCCCCTCTCAACTTTCACTGGTCCAACTAAAACAGCATCAGCCTATCCAAACTTTCCTCATAGCTCAGACCCATAAGCTCAAGGAGCATCGTGGTAAATTT